CGACGGCTCTTTGCGTTCTTTTCGACGTTCTACTTGCTCATAAAGAGACATTTCTTCATTTTTAACGTTACCATCTACTGCCCCGCTAGAGCTGGTAACCGTAACTGAGACGTTCGCGGGCGCACCACAGATTTCCACGTTCACAGGCCTCCCACGGCCACCATCCACCTTCGATCTGGGCTCGCGTTCTACAATCTCCGAATAATTATCCTCCGTTGTGCGGACAATCGGACTATTTGGCTTCGCAACCACTTCAACAAGTTCGTAGTAATCGGACGCAGATGACAATCGATTAGACTCGTCTACGGGTACTAATAACTCCATATTTGGAGAACGCTCTCGCTGGGCTACTTCATCGTAGAGATTTTCTCTGTTGTCTATGGACAAATCTGCAATCAAAAGCAAAACGCTCTTAGTTTTGTGCGTTAACTTTTACATGCAAATCACGTACTTGTTTACGACCCAAAGACTGCTTCGTCACTCGATCAGTGTCTACAAACCAAATCAAGCTCAAAAGCTAGCTTGAATAGTTCTTCCCAAGTGTAGAATTCAGATAATTAACTCTTACATGCGTTAGCCCTGAGCGTTAGCCCCAGAAATTAAATTGGGGGCCACCAAACCATGAAAAGACAAATTACTATATACCAAACCAGTGGATAGTGCTTTTCGCGCATTCTGATTGGTTACTCAAACTCGGAATACTGTTTGCTATTCCGAGCTGGCGCGGCGAAGGTCACATTTCGTGCGCGAACTTTAATAAAAGACTTTTTGAAGTCTTTTGAGTCAATTTTTATGGATATTTTATCCTACTGTTTTGGTATATGTACTAAAACAATTATTCCCCTCAGTGTCGGTGGCTAATGGTAGATATTTACCTCTCCGCTTCGCGGCTCGGTAAATATCCACCAATAGCCACCTCCACTGCGGGGAATAATTGTTAATTATTTCGACCTCGATGATTCGAATCGAGGACTTGCGGATCAGATCATCTCTCGACGCCAGACAGAAACAAGTGGTTATGTTATGAACGAGCATCGTAACTACATCTAACTTGCAGCAATCCATAAAAATAAATTTTCTAAGCGTTATATTTCGTATTTTCTATCATTAGTTTCTTCTTCATTAGCCACTGAAAGCAGTGTCCTTAATTGTGCATAGTAAAGTCTTCAGTTACAAAATCAAAACATCAATTCGCCTTACAGATAGACACATAATTCCTTTCAAGTTAACTATGAGAATATGATGCTACATCAAGACAAGACATCCCTGATGAGAGCAACCGATCCGATGTCATAGAAACAGTGCAATTCAAGGTCATTTTAAAATATATGCTGGCTAACTGCTGATCTTCGTCTGTGGGCTTTTCATTTCAGAAATGAAAATGTGTTTCTAGGATGTCCTAGGCTCGATTTCCAGCACTTTCTTGAGTCGTGTCTACGTTCCTCCTTGAAAGGAGAGCGGACTCCTTAGCCTGAAATATCAGTCATCTCCCGCCCGTAGCCTAATACCCGGGCGAGAGGTGCTGCACCCGGGGTCAAGCTGAAGGCGGGAGATGACTGACAACTCAGGCTACGGGCTCTTTTCCGGGCCGGCAGCTGGTAATCAGACCTAGGCTGTCTTGGTCAAAAAAACAACACAAATCACGTCGTGATTGAAAAGGAAATGTCCGAATCATACTAACCCGCAGTTCTTCCCATTTCAATCTGAACTTGCCTCGACGACACATACGCAGGGGGAAGGGGAGGGGGAAAATCCAAGTCTCTGGCTTCCTCCTCGTGGGTTTCTTCGCCTTCGGTATTTCGCCGCCACCTCGTTTTCTTACTGAGGTCCACTTCCGCGTAAGTGTAGTCAAATGGAGCTGATGCAGCCTCGCCTTTTACTTGTGTAACCTCGCCTTTCGTTGTCCGCACCACATGCACCGTATTGGGGCGCTTGGGTAACTCGTTCTCAGGTCGCCGCAACACTACTGCATCGCTCTGCGCCCGTTTGCGATCACTTGAGTCCGTGTTTGTCCCATCCTGATTCATCAAACGCAACACCTCTTCTTTATCCACGGCCGAGTACTTGTGGTTTGTATCGAGATTTTCTTGTGTTTTTTCCACATCTTCATACAGTTCGGAATTTTCTGGATAAGGCTCCTCTTCGTCTCCATTAGGTCCCGAGTTTTCTGCCTTCTCTCGGTGTTGTAATGTTCCTATTCTTGAATAAGGATCTTCTTCAGTTACATCCTCATTTGCGACTACTTCCTCGTTCTTGCCCTTTTCATTTCCAGTTGTTTCAACTTCAGCGTACAAGTCATCCCCAGTCTCTCTCGTCTGAGCATCATCAACAACTTCGTAAAGGTCACTCGTTCGAGCACCAGCGTCGATCCCATCAAGTGAGTCGTAATCAAGCGAAGGTAGCCGAGGTTTTCCCACACTTTCTTGGACTGCATCGTAAGTATCATATTTTGGTGGGTCGGTAGCTTTGACCCTTTCCATCGATTTAGTTTTTCTCATGTCGACCGGCTCGTAGGCATTGTCTTCGGCTCCTTCTGGGGCGGAAAATTGTCTCTGAGGGACAGGCCGTGTTGGGAGGGCAGGACTGGAGCTATCCGGTGGGAGCGGAAGTTCCCTGACGTGGCGCTCCAAAGTTGGGGTTGTCTCTCGAGGTCTTTCAGAGTGTTCATCTTGTAATGTAGTCTTTTGGTCTTTTTCACTATCAGTGGAGCTTGTTCTTCGCTTTGTTTTCCCGGGCTTTGTCTTCAGTTCTTTCTTTGATCGTCTGTTTTTGTTTTCCTCGTCTTGAAACACCGCATCGGAAGTTCTATCCACAGATCGAGCTGTCCCAGAAGTATTACTAGTTCTAGCTGAGGGTTTTCGCTTCCAGAACCTGGTTTTATGTTCTTCATTGTCACTGTCACTTCCGTGTTTCTTTTTCGAACTCCCTGCTGTCAACGCCCGGCTTATTTCATGTCCGGATTCTGCCTCGGGCTGTGTACCGTTCGCTTGTACAGACTGAGTGTTACTTGACAACCCGGTCTCCATGGTAACTGGCGGTCCGTGCTGCGTGCTGCTCGGCGGCCCGGGGGGCTGCACACTACTCGGCGGTGGCTCGTAGTGAGTAGTGGTGGTCCGCGGCTTGTGGTTGTCTGCCTGTAAAGAATCTCCATCGATCTTCTCCGCGGTCTCCATTACAACATCTTCAGACTCGAGGAAGGTTTTTTCGTCACCTTGTTGTTCTTCTGGTGTTATCTATAAATAATTTAAAAACAACTGAGATATTCTACAAATTTACCATATCTTATTACAGTGGAAACTCGATATAACGGAGGGCCAAAGGACTGGCAAAATATGTGCGCTGTAACGAGGTTTCGTTATATCGGGTTTTTTTTCCATATATTTTACTATTACTGAGGCAAAGAATACCGTTCGTTATACCGAGGACTTCGGGAAACAGAGGTTCGTGAAATCGAGGTTCCACTGTATACCGCNGAGATATTCTACAAATTTACCATATCTTATTACAGTGGAACCTCGATATAACGGAGCGCCAAAGGACTGGCAAAATATGTGCGCTGTAACGAGGTTTCGTTATATCGGGGTTCTTTTCCACATATTTTACTATTACTGAGGCAAAAAATACCGTTCGTTATACCGAGGACTTCGGGAAACAGAGGTTCGTGAAATCGAGGTTCCACTGTATACCGCCAGCTTGGAGAGGGGCGAGACGAACCAGATACCGCGGTGTGATCGGCTTGTACCCAAGAAGGCAAGCTCGGGATTGCCCGTTGTATCCCGCAAGTAAACGCTTCTGTATGCCACTCAAAAAAATCGTTTATTAACCAAGCTTGTTTGGTCAAGATGGCTTAAAACTTATTATAGGCCTCGCTCTTGTTTTGATTTTCTAAGGTATGGAGCTCCACTTGCGTGCCTTCGGCATGCAGGAGTTCCGCTATAAGCCCCTCCGTTCATAAGCCGATCTAAAAGCCCTTACAAAGTTGGATAAGCCCAGCACTTGTAAGCGGCAGTTTACGATACTCCAAATAAAGGGAAATTCTATTTTTCTGAAATTAAATATTCAAACAAAGACGTCTGTTCACTGAACACCTAGGAGTCTTGACAATGACAAAAACAACAACAAATAATAATAATCATTGTTTACCGTGCGTTGGCTTTCACGTTTATGACAACCAACAAGTTCAGGTCTGGATCTGCAAGTAAGTAAAGAAATTACTGTAAATAGAAAAGCGCACTTGGAATGGGTTTCCATGGCAACCACAAAAAGATAGCTATTTTATGAACATTTAGGTCATGTACCCTTACTAATTACATAGCTGCCCATGTTTTGTGTTCTGTTGTCCCTAATAAGATGCAACAAAACAAAATTCCAATACCTTCAGTAATTTTTAAAAAAAACCATTCTCTCATTAGTGGGACCTCTTGTCAACTACCACACACTACCTTACCTTTATCAAAATCTACTTTAAAAGGTTTATGGAAGGTTTCATAGCAGAATGTCTTGTTTAAGGATTCCCAGGGAAGGACTACCATTTTAATGGGGAAGGGATGCTCACCAGAAAAGTTGAATTAATCCCCTTAAGACCAATCTGGGCTGGTAAAGTACCACTAAAAAGGAAAAGCACCTTAAAGCCAATTGGTAGATAGCTCTGTGCTGAACCCCAGTTTCTGTAGCATAAGGCAGCTAGGAGCATTACCATCCCCATCCCCCCCTGGATGGGATGCTATTCCATCACATGTTAATGCTCCCCAGGATACCGTAAGGTGTTCCCCAACAATTATTTGTTAAGTACCCACTTAAACTTCTAGTTGAAGAGAGGCACTTTGAGAGTTAAGCATCTTTACCACTTTAATTTGTCTAAAGATGACGCAATCTTACAGATTTCACTTCAGATGTATCTACACCATCAACAGAACTTGCAAGAGTGTATTTCATTATCTACTTCAAAAACTTAAACTTACACTGATTCGTCATCTTTGGTGTTCTTACAATCAGTGCAAAGGCTACCAGCTATTATAAGCATCACAGCTCCTGCTACCAACAGGAGAATCGGCTTCAAGGAAATGCCATCCTTAGTAACTAGGTTGTCAATGCTTAATAAACTCCTGCGCATGCGTGATGTACCTGAAATCAACAATTAAATGTTGTTAACAATAAAACAGACGGTGACTCCTTACTAATTCCTTTGTGCGGCTCCATACCAAGAGGTGTAGGTGCAACATATTCTAAGTCATTATGTGTTTGCAATATTAAAAAAAAAAAAAAAAAAAAAAAGAAATTTCCATGTACCCACCCCAAGGATTCGGTTATAGGAAATTCCAAAGGGGAGAGGGGTATCAAGGGCAAAATCTATAAAGGAAAGTATACATGTACAAAATTTGAATTTTGATCATGGGGGGGGGGGGG